CATTTATCTGCTCTGTGTGTGTGTGTGTGTGTGTGTGTGTGTGTGTGTGTGTGTGTGTTGCAGCCATGACAAATCTGTGATTAATTACAAAAAGCATAAACATCAAGTAACATTTTATTTGAAGGTAACAGAATAATCATTGCCATTGTTGACAGACTGGCGACCTGTCCAGAGTGTACCCTGCCTCTTGCCCCAAGACAGCTGGGACAGGCTCCAGCGCCCCCACGACCCTAGAAAGGATAAGCGGAAGCAAATGGATGGATGGACATATATTGAACAGAATATTGCACAAAGAAGGCATCACTAAATGATCAACTTCACCCAGCACAGAAAATATACATTTATTTAACGGTTACAAAACAGCCCACAGAGCTTTTACCATCAGAGCTTCCAGTGCAGACAGCTAATTAACCCTCAACCCTGAAATAATAAAAAATAATAAAAACAAATCTTCTCAGGAAAAAGCAACTCAGACTTTTGTTTTTACCCTCATGTTTGTTTTACTCCTGGACAAAATGAAATCATCTGAGAGGAAACATGACTACAAACAAATTAGTTTCATTCAGATTAGTCCTTTTCTGATACTGTTTAAGTGGACAACTGTTAATAAGTTCAAACTTAGCTTGGTTAAAACCTTGAAGTTTACTGACAACCAAATAAAATTACCTGCTAATTAACTATCTAAACTATGTTAATGTTAATATAGTTTTGCATGAAAACATGATTTGAAATATATTATTTACCAATTATGTATACTGGGAAGGAAAACAAAATACAACAACAACAAAAAGCTAAATAGAAAATTAAAATAAAAGTTTTCCATCACCATCAGTGCTAAACTCCATAATACCAACTGAAGGAAATGCATTTCTTAATATATGTATACCGTATTTTTTGGACCATAAGGCAGACCAGATTATAAGGCGCATTAAGTCAAACTTTACTCAACTCATTCTTCTTGCTTCCTCCACTTCCCTACTATTGATTCATTAATGTTGAATTCTCTTGCAGCTGCTCTATTCCCATGTTGTACTGCGTGACTGGTAGCCTTGAGTTTGAAATCCTTATACACACACACAATACGGCAATATTATGTTGAAGCACAGTACGTATCACTCCGCGAGGCTCCTGACTACGGTAGCCATAATGCTCCGACAATCCATCAAGCAGTGGGGCTTCGTAGCTTAGCAAAGTCGTACTAAAACATTTCTTGACACATTTTTGAGTGTCGTGTACCACATAAATTCGGTTCGAGATCAGTAAGATCAACCAGAATTCATACATAAGGCGCACCAGATTATAAGGCGCATTTTTGAGAAAATTAAAGGATTTTAAGTGCGCCTTATAGTCCAAAAAATACGGTAACTGCAACACATTTACAAAAGGACAGGCAGTTAACATATCACCACAACCTCTAAAATTGTTCGCTTTGGAAGTCATGTTATAGATTGTAAGTCCCTGTGTACACGCTCAGTAGCTTCTAGCTCTACAGAGGTTCGACTGTTTTAAAGCGCTGCGAGCAGCTAAGTCATTCCTGAAGGTAAATGGGGCAGCCATTTTTTATGGAATGACCCACTAGATGGAAACAAGCTATAAACTTAAGCAAAGTCCAAACTAGGGTTTCCAAACAGCTGCTGCAGCAGTACACAATCCAGTTACCTTTTTTTAAATTTGCTCTTTTCATTAAAATATACAAAACTAATCAGCCATTCTTGATGTTATCTGAAACACACCAATATCATCAAGGCAAATGCATCTTTAAAGAAGTCGGATCCTTTATTTCAGGTTTAGATATTTAACTTAATATTTTAACCTTTAAGGGCTCCTTTTGGACAATTAAAATACGCCTGATTGCAGTTTTACTTTAAAAATCAGGCACCAACCACCTCATAGATAGTAAAATACAAAACATTTGCTTGTCTTTTGGGAATCGGACTGAGTTTTCCTTTAACCCTTAACTAGGAAGCAAAGCTGAAAGAACTTCCTAGTTATGTGTCAAACATATTCTCTGTTCTCAAGGTCCTTTTTGATGGCTTTTTTAATGCGGTCGATTTCATCTTCGTCTGAGCTGTCATTGTCCTTCTTTTCACTGTTCAAATCTTTTCCATCCTTCTCTTTCTTTTCTTTGTTGTCTTTCTCTTTTTTCTCACTGTCCAGATCTTTGGTGGTCTTCTCAGAGTCTTTTTCTGGTGAGTTGAACTGCAGCTCTTGATGTATTGAGTTCAGCTCCACCAGACCATCGTGCAGCTGTTGCGCCACCTCCCTGATTTTGGCAGCAAACTCTGATTTTGCCCCTTTCTTGAGTTCTTTCGAGTCTTTGGACACAAAGTAGATATCCATAACTACAAAGAGTCCAGTAAGCACACCGGTTGCCATACTAGCAATCTGGACTGCTCTGGCTGCGGTGCTACCTGCTACATGGGCAAACTGGACAAAACGCATGATCTCATTGGCATTGACGAGGATCGCCTTTCCTGCCATGGCGCCATCTTCATAGAATTTGCTAGTAAGTGAAGGAAAGTCCTGATTGTATGCGCTATTCTTCATCTTGATCAGATCGAACCTGCGCAGGTTCTCAATACCCTGTTTGATGAACGTCAGGCACTTGTTGATGTCTTCCATCTTCTCCTGGTAGTCCTGCACGATCTTCTCCACCTTCTTGCGGTCCATGGTGTTGTTGACCTGGTTGGAGATGCCAGCACCTGCTGATGTCAGACCGCCTGCCGCAGCAATGCCCAGTCCCACTGCAGTCACAATCAAGGAAGTTCCCATGGTGAAGGGAGCCAGGGCGAGGCCAGCAACAGTGGCGACGCCCCCAACGGCGCTGGTGGAGCCGCCTGTGATTTGAGCGATCTTTGTGTTCTTGCTGAACTTGTCGAGCCCATCAGCGATGCCGTTGAGGTCGATGACATGCTGCCAGAGGCTCTCTGCCCGCTCCGTGAACAGTTTGTTGAAGACTCTGATGCCCTTCTGCAGCTTCTCAGCGGTCAAAGCAAAGGCCCTGAGAAAAGAAATTTGAGTCCTATTATACATTTTATAAGTAACTCCATCAAAAAGGCCATTTTGTCTCATTTACACCAACAGAATAAGTGTTAATTAACCAAAATATATATTTGATATTTATTTTACTAGTGATTTTGAGGAAAGCAGAATATCTTGTTTCTCAAAGCATGACAAAACATCAAACCTTTTTTTAAAGATTATTCACACCACTGTTTTCATTGGAATTGATTATTGATTATCCTTCCTCAGGAGAAAAGTTAAGTGTTGTTGTTTCGGGGTATGAGCTTCTTCAGTTCTCCATGGTGGATGTTTATGATGCAGATATATTATACATTTTGTGTTGTCCAACGGTGGGCATAGCAATATTTGAGCAGCTCCAGAATAACCTTTTACATTTTATTCACATCACAATATGATAACAATATGGCAACAAAGGAAGATACCAAAGCAATATTTTATATTCAATTTCAGGCGACAAGGAATTAGCAGCCTCGATTTAATGGTTAATAAGGAAATCAACATAAAATGCTACCATCTTCTTAAGAGACACAGCAAAGACATTTTAATGTGCTGCCTCCCTAAATTGATGCATTTATTATATTATATTGTAAAAATAAGTATAGCAGAACGGACCCCTGAAAGACCAAAAACAGCATTTAATGAAGTATTAAAGCATATTAAAGCTTACTTGGCCTCTTCTTTTTCTGTCATGTCTTTATGTTGAGGTGGGTCTTTCCATTCTGAAAAAGAATGATTTATCATCGTTTTGTGCATCTTAGCAGCCCAAAAGTATGTAAATGCAAAACTATTACACTCATGCATGATATTAATCTGCTGCGATAACAGCATCAACTCTTTAAAAAAGGCCTTCTACCTGATTTTAACATCTGGCTGAAAGAATTTGGTTCCATTTCACCACAAGAACATGAGTGAAGTTAGTTTCTAATGCTGAGGGATAAGAATTACCCAGTGGTTAAAAAGTGGTTAAAAAACCCCAAAACATTTCATTTTCAACTTACGCTCCACAGTTTCCCACCATTCCATAAGATCCACATCCTGAAAGACATCATTCGGTTCCATGTTTGTTATTTTTGCTTTCCAAATAATGACTGAAGACTGCATTAAAAACCTACATTACTATGTTCAGCTGAGGCAGTGCCAATACGGTAGTCCTCTAGCTGGTCAAACACAGACCTGTTTGCACCTTCACTCTGAGATGAAAGAAATAGTAAATAATAAAATTACATATCAAAACCACCATTTTAATCATAATTACTTCAACAAAAGATTGTGTCTGCAGTGAAACTGAAAAAAAATACACAGTACTTGAGCATGAATGACATTATCATGCAACACATTTGGTCAGTTTCATTTTTTACATGGCTGTTGCGCATCTAAAGAGGAGGAAGTTTTGGTGAAAGGGATTCTGGGAATAGTGACTTATTTCTGCTGTTTTTGCAGAAGTTAAAGGACTCAACAGGGGAAAAAGGAAGCAGAGAAAGACGTCTGGGCATATTGTAGCCTAATCTCGTCTCATCATCCATGGCATAGACATGCACAAACACTGTGCGGCTGTTGTGTGTGGGTTTCATGTCAGCACTGGAAAGGGGAAAAACATGTAGACCACAACTGAGTCTGTTGGAAGGTGAGCAAACACTCTAGAGACAAGTTCTGCAAAGACTGTAAGTCTTTGTTTTCAGAGTGGAAGGAGGCATTGGGTGACAAAAACAGGCTTTTTGTAATGGTAATTTTTAAGTCCTGAACAACAGTGGTTAAACCAGCAAAATGTGGGCAAATACAGTGAGACTGAGATTAAAAAAAAAAAAAAACAAGAGGTTAAAAAGTTACTTTTGGTTTTAAAGTTTGATGTGCGAGGGGTGAGAGGGAGAAGTAAAGAAAAGAAAGTTTCTTGATATATTACTTTGATTATATTGTCTACCTCTGCTTGGGCTGTTTCTTGTGCACGTCTCTGTATCACTTTGGCCTGAAATAAACAAACACAGACACACAGTTCAATCGTTTGTAATACCAACACAGGACTTATCTGGATGTTTTCATGATCTTAGACATAAAATGAATAAATAATTTAAATAAGTAATTTTTCTTCAAGGAAAAAAATAGATGAAGAAGGAAAAAACATACAATTTCTTCCTTTTCACTTTCTTTGGTATTCAGATTTAAGACTAGGTCAGTGAATTGCTCAAGAAGGCAGGCCATGGTAATTCATTTATGTAAGCTTACCTGCCAAAACAACACAGAAATACTGCTTTGCTTAAGAACCACAGAGAAATTTGGAGCTAGTTTATTTATTCATTTCTCAAAGAAATAAATAAACAAATTCTGTTTGTGTAACAGTATATCAGAAGGTCTTTTTACTACCTTAATCAAAATTCTTTATGAGCTCAGAGTTCAGTGCTCAAGATTTTAAGGGAGAAGCAATTTTGGAGACATCGTAGTTAGAGCCAAGTTACATTGTTCTATTTCTGTCTTTGGGTAATTTTTATGCCATTCAAAGCTCAAGCAAAATTGAAAACTTGGGGGAAGCTTCACCATTTGTTAATAGCAGAGGTCACTGGGGTAGTTGAAAAGCTCCCTGATTGGCCACTAGATACAGGCTCTGGACCAGGCGCCTCCAACTCCAATCCTACTGGAGTAGCCCAGCTATTGTCCTGCAGTTTTCAGATGTATCCCTATTCCAACACAGTTGAAAATGGTCGCATTACCTCTTCAGCATGCCATCAAGTTTGGCAATAGCCAGGTAACAAGCCATTCATTTGATTCAGGTTCAGGTTTGATTCTTCTTGTATTTTGCTCATTTGTGTTGTTGTGTTTGCACATCTCTGTTGCTTGTGGGGCTCGCACACAAGAATTTCACTCGCATGTGCTGTGCCAGTGTGCCTGCACATGTGATGTGACAATAAAAGTGATTTGATTTGATTTGATTTGAGGTTTATTGGAACAAGGATGCATCTAAAAGCTGCAGGACAGTAGCTCTCCAGGACTGGAGTTGGAGACCCCTGCTCTGGACAATGTAGGGCTGTCTTGGTTGATGTGCTTCTTTAATTTTGTGTCACAGTGCTGTTGCGGTTTTCAAAAAGGGGTTTGGAGGGTATGGTCTATTTATTGGGGTATCACACTGTTCATCCACCATAGGACAGTTGATGTCAGAATGCTACACAGGCTAACTGTCAAACCTTGGATTTAGGAGGAGGAATGCTTATTCTGTCCTGGACATGGAACAGTAGACCAGATCTTTACTATCGGACAACTTCTAGAGGGATTGTGGGAGTTTGACTTAGAGTCTATATGTGCTTTGTAGACCTGGAGAAAGTTTATGGCTGGGTTCGTCTTGGGAATCTGTGGAATTCTTGGCAGTATATGGTTTCAGGTCTGTTGTTACAGCCATTTAGATCTTTGGGAGAGCTGAGAACAGTCAGTCCCTGGCACAAAGTCAAGCATATTTTCAGCCATCTTGATGCATGCTCAATTATCTATTTAAGTAAATCTCAAAAGGTAGCGCTTTCAGTGGGAGAAAC